GCTGATCACGAATATCACATCCGTTTCGAGCGCTGGCGTCATTTGGCGCCATTATGCGCCAATTTGGCGCCCACCACTTTTTTCACCAAAGTTGATGAAAACTTGCATATGGGGGTTAATCGACATCCTGATCACGAATATCACACTGGTTTCAAACGCTGGCGCCATTTGGCGCCATTATGCGCCAATATGGCGCCAAATTGGCGCGTAATGGCGCCAAATGGCGCCACCGCCAAAAATGAATGTCGGATTCGTAATCAGGACCTCAAGTAACCCCCATATGCAAGTTTTCATCGACTTTGGTGAAAAAAGTGGTGGGCGCCAAATTGGCGCATAATGGCGCCAGATGACGCCAGCGCTTGAAACGAATGTGATATTCGTGATCAGGACATCGAATTACACCTATAGGCAACGTTTCAGCGAAAATTTTTTTTCAGTTTTTGGGGTAGGAATAGTTCAATAGTGCCAAATATTCTATTCTTCCTAAGACTGGTATAGACAGTGCACTCTACGGTCAAGCCTAGAAGCATCGTCTTTCAATCCCACATCGTCCTACGACCCCAACGTCGCTGATTCCGCAACACACGCCCGACCCTGTTTGCCAATGTGGAAGCTCACTAACTGAAAATCCCCCTAATCAGAGACCTCAGCGCACAAAGAATTAGAAGGGCAAATAGATGCAATGACGCCTTTCACGCGAATGGCACACGCTTTCTCTGATTTAAAACATGTTCCCAGCGATCAAAAGTGTTCGGGCGTAGTAGATGCTGCAGGAGAATGAACAGTATCCTTTAATAACTCGCCAGTAAGGAAGAAGCCAGAAACTTTGGGACTTATCCTGAGCAAGACATCTTCATCCGCAAAGTGTTATCGGGGACGGCAAGTGCATCACGAGCGAGAGCCCATCGCAGATACTAACGTGAAACGTCTCCGGGTAAGAGCCATATGTTGTTGCCCGATGACGCCGCCAGCGCAACCGTCGCCTATATACACACGCAATTCCGCTTGTAAGCCGTTGTCTTGCAGAGTGAAAGTAATCGTGGTTGCAATGGTTGCAATAATCACGCGTCTCTAGCTTCTTTATCTCGCCGTTCAAGTGAGGAACATGATAATTATTCTTTGTGAATGCGGACGTACGAGTGGCCAAATGCCAGCGGTCCAGGCATTTCGCGGACCACTTTGATCGCGGGAGCGTTGTCTTCAAGATTAGCCGGAACTGTAGGCAGAGTATGTGTGCCTAATTGCGACTGCCCGTTCTAACTCTTGTGGTTATAAGTTATCCGGATTCCCGGGTTCATTCCCTTAGTACCCGATTCAAGTCTTTGGCCGTTTATACGCTGGGCTAGCTGCGAGTAATCCACATTTGCAAAGTACGAACGCAGTCTTACATATAAATAAGGTTGTCTATAAAAAAGTCACCAGCATCACCTATGTTATTGCAGGGAGTGAAACGCTCGGCAGAGGCCTTGATCGATAAAGAAGTGGAGAAGTGCGCCGTTGATGCGAAAGAGGAAGCAGGAGGAGACTGTGTACTTTCGAGTGTAAACAACACTGCTTTACCACCATGTACGGATGACGAGGTTGCACTCTTTTCCGACTCGGATGTGGAATGTATTGCCATCGAGGACAATTCAGGTATGTTCTTAAGTGGGAGTACTTCGTGCTCTATATTAAATTTAGCATTAACATAAGCTACCGTCGCGGGCCTGCATCACCTGTTCTCCCGTTGATCATCGAGTACTTCGAGCGAGCGCCAGTACGTCTCCATTCGTCCCTGCAACGTGCAAGTGTTCGCTTGACATTCCTTGGAATCCAGTCGGTAAATCGGCTGTTATCCAGCGCGCATTCCGCAGAAACTCATGACGTGCCCGACCCGCCTGGTCTTCAGAACCTTGACAAATGCGGCTGCATTTCTGATCTTCAATGGCACTGAATGCGGAGCTCCGGATTCCCTCTCTCACTTGCGTGCAGCGCGAAACTCGTAAACAGCAAACTTAAAGGCATCGCCCTTATCAATATGCGCTACTCATCCTGCTGCGCCGTATTCCCGAGGCTTACGTTAAAGGCAAGCAGGAGAACAGCGGTAAGAAGAGGTGGGCTCAGAGCCGTGGGTTCTTCGCCTTATTCTCCACTCCCTCGATGTTCCCCAAGCTGCTAACTTCCTCCTGCTGCGCGGTCTGGTTGCTAAGATCGTTTGTTTGATTTCTCCAATGGGCCTAGTCTAGAGAAAGAGCAGAGAGGAGAGAGAGGAGAGAGCTGAGAGAGAAGAGAGAGAGAGAGGAGAGAGAGAGAGAGACCATTCAGAAATGTGCGTTCCATAGAGCGAATAGGGCATCTGAAACCAATTCGTGGGTACCTGTATTGAAGCCAATGCTGGAGAGAAAATTGTGATCACCCTGGGTTCCATCCATACGGATTTCCTTAGGTTTCTCCAGGTTCGCGTGGTACATCTTCGCGGGCCTTATGAAGTGTGCCACTGGAATCACGGCAAAGGCGTTGATCTGGTCAGAAATGGTGAGCACTATAATTGGTGACTTTACTCAAAAATTTTGCTTACCATATTAGCCAGAACAACTTTCAGCCAACTGTTCTGTATGTTCGTAATAATTTGGGTCAGCTGCGAGTGCATTAGACCATGGTCACAAAAGACCTTGGTGTCTTCGTTCATAGGAGAGAAGTTGGGTGTAGCAGCAGCCGAAGGTGTACGTTGAAATCGAGGAGCAATAGTCTTAGGAACTATAAAAGACCTTTTTGTGTATATACCTGCCCTAAAACAGTGTTCGCTTTTAACCAACAGAAGCCCTTCCCTGCACAAGGTTCACAGTCGTTCACGTTCGCGACTCGAAAGTACTTGATAAGAACGCCGGGCTTTGCCAGGATACAAGCTCTCCACCTTCTCCCTGCCCTCCAAAGTTTCACTGTCCTGCGGTTTGTGTCTCCGGATGCCCATAAAATGCTTACGACCAACAGGGGTGGGGGTCACTATATTTTGTTTTTTTTTCTTCGCTGTCGAGTTACTGAACGCCTTGACATTCGTTATTTAACCCTGCCATCACGGAAATTGCTGGCTGTGAATGAAAAACCGGAATAAAGAGCGAGCTGTATTCCGTGATGACTGCGCTGAAATTAATGAGACTACTTTGTGGGGCTAATTTGACCTATCTCTCTTCTAGCTTTTTGAGCTTTCCGAGTATAATACAAGTCTATTGTCTCTTTGGTGACCTGCCACGTATAAAGTCTTGCTTATCCACGCTTTTGCTTGTTCTTAGCCCCCATTTTCTCTTTTGAAAATGCGTACCTGCTGGTTTCGTGCAAGGCTATCAGTCAATGCTGATATGTAGAAGTAGTAGGTGTACGTACAATTTGTCGTCTGATTTTTGGGTATATTACACTTTAACTGACTTCTGAGATCAGCAAATTGTTGATCCACTGCAAGGGGCCGCTCCTCTTCCTCTGCTTATTTTACCATCACTGGCGTTTGAAGCAATGTTCTCAAAAGTCAGAGGGTGGTGACGTTTCTCAGGCTTAAAATCTGTAACCTCACTGCAGAAATTATTTTTTGCGCCTGAACACGCAGTCTGCTACCGTCCTGCTCTCACCTGCGCAGATCGACACCCATCTGCTTTTTTTGTGCGCATTCTTGTAGGAATTCTATTCTCCAATTCTCCTATTCTCCTGCCGCAAAGTATGGTCCTGGATTGTTAAAAAGTAAGTTGCGTTGATACTCTGCGATTTG